ATTTCACTAGTGGACGTTTTAACATATACTGTCTCGTACTTTGAGCGTGAATTTTAATTACAAGAAATGGCAAAAAAAAGACTTGAAAATAAGATGATATCCAAGAGCATTTTATTCACATTAAATATCTGTACTGCTGATGTAAATAACATCGTTGAAACGTATCATATTAGTAGATCAGAAAATTTATATCAGCAAAACAATATCAGTATTGAAAAATTGATCATGAATCAATTTGAGATAACATCCAGTCAAAAAACAGATTTTCTCACGGTAATTATCGATTCTATTACTTCCAAAAATGGACTTTATCACTGCAGTGAAAAAGTGATTTTATATACCAGTGGGCAAGCAACGAAAAAAGCACATAAAGGTGCATGTAGAAGCACTCCTTCAAATTTGCAGTATCACGTAAAAGATTTCATGTAAGGATAAAGATGTTTTAATGTATATTTGCAACAAGTCCTTCCGTTATTATTTAAATTTACGGATTCATATATGAAGTCTGGTGTTGTGTTCGCAGCAACTCTTTCCTCTTCTTCTACTTGGGCACCATCTAAATTTGAATAATTCTAGATTGGAGAGAAACTTTCCAGGAGTGAAATTTGTAATAGTGAAAGGTTTTCATTTCAAGTAATTTGGCAAACACTTGCAAAGTCACCTTAAAACTTACTAATCCACGTTTTCATTGGTATTGCGACAAATTAACTGAAAGCACAAAACGAAGAAAATTTCTGCTAATAATAGTTCAATTGGTGTCTATCTAAGCATTAAATTTTCATTTTTGCACACATCTGAATATCACCAAAAAAGTCATTTCATTATTTTTTCTATAAAGAATGACATCTGAAACCAAAAGGTCGTCTTCATGTTAGAATTTTTTAATTAATAAGAAATGCAATTGAGAGTAGACATTTGTGGACGTCTTCTACTCTTGTATTATAGCATTGAAAGTTTCGCTCATCATAGACAAAACAGATTTTGGCTTGCACATGTGTTGTAGCTACGTGGAAGAGTTGCTTAAATTATGATGAGCATATTCCCATATGTAGGCAACTTGGAAGTCGTAAAAGTTGCGATGAATAAGAATTAAGTAAAATCTGATCAAGCATAGATGTGAGAGTGGATATTCCCTTATCTAAATTTTTGACATGTATTTATTTCAAACCAAAATAATTGAGGGGTGCATAGCAAATGAACTCATCCGTTTCAGTTTCTGCTTATTTCCGTCCTATAACATTACTCTTTTTTAATTGTTCATAACGTAAAGAAGCAAAGTCATCAGACTTGCAAGTTCCACCAAAAATGAGTGCATTTTAATGTTTTATTAGGATAAAGTCTTATAGCATTGTTCTTTACTAATTGTTTATAATGTGAAGAAATAAAGTTATCATATTTACTTCACCAAAAATGTGGATTTTTTGTATTATTTAAACATTTCAATATTGTGGTTTTTTTTTTGAAGTTGTATTATTTTGAAGCGATGATTAACATAGCTGTGACAAAGAGAAGCAAGTATATTCCCATCAGATGAGCAAAAACATCCTAATTAACGTCAAAAAATATAACTTTGCAATAAAGCAAAAAAAACTTCCATTAAAAAAACCATATCAACAACAAATAAATCACACTTCCTCAAGGCCTAAATAAAGGAAAAACCAAACCGGCCAGCCAAAATTCCGGTTGTTGATAAACTCGACCCTGATACTGAACCAATCAAAACCCCGGACCCGCTATTAAAACCAAAAAATTAATAACCAAAAACTGTAACACTTTCCTGCAATATCTAATAGAAGTTTAAGATTTCTGCGTTTCATTCATCAGCACTGATCGTAAAATGAATCAAAGAGATCATGTTATTGCATTCTGCACAAAAACAAAAGTATTTTATAAATTGTCTCTTGTAATTTACCAGAAAAATTCAGATGTTTTTTATTAATTTTCAGAAAAAATTTGAAAGATTTTTTCAGAAAGTAAATCGTTTGAGGCTTGAAAATGATAGATTTTGAATTAGTCTAACAGCACTTTGATATCATTTTTTAATCTTTTCGAAAGTATATTTTTTAAATTAACTTGAAAACTGGAAAGGGAGGGAACTCATATGACCCATACTGTATTTGAGTTCGTCTTAATTTTCAATTTTTTTTTTGTATGGATTGGTAAAAATATCTTTCGCATTGGTTTATTTCACTGTTCTGAAAATAGATAGTATGCCATGAAAGCTTGTCATTGGCTAAAAGCATTTATTTATCATAGATGGATGGCGTTGTGACAAAACTTGTTCTATTGAGACGAATAATTTCAATCAAAAGTAATCCTCAAATTAAGATATTAGCGTTTTAAACGCTGCTGATCCTAACAATTTAGAATTTAAGCGAAAATTCAAAAATTAGGTATGCACTATAACTGCAACTGATACAAATAAATAAATAAATAGATTGTAAATACGTGACTGCAAGTATTACTCACTTCTTGTGCGTCTATTGCAGTCTCAATTCATTTCTAACTTAATCTCAGTGCAATTTCTAAACTTCTCAATTACCTACTTTACTTACTATCTATAAATGAAAATACTTATTTTATAGCGTAATAAATTACATACAATGTTGATATTATCATCAAATGTGCTAATCTTATCATGCAGAATGGAAAGTAACTGAAAGCAATCAAAGTTAACAATTACTTTCAATACAAAAGTATTATTGATTATTTGATATTGCTGGTGAATTTTTCTCTTAATTTTTACTCTTTGTGTTTTCTAATCACAGTTAAAGGTTCAAAGTGCATGCAATAAATGACATTGAAAATGTAAATATGAAAATTTTTAAATGTCAGAAATGCGTTATATAAATTGGCAAATTTCGATTTCGATAGTCTGTTTATTTTGATAAGCGCTAGAAGTGTGTTACGGTTTTGACGGGCATTTGATCTCGCCGTTGCTACTCCACGTTCATTTATGCAGACAACGTAAGGATGACAGTTTAGAGTTCAAATAACAATTTTAATCACTAAGTAATTTTAACATGTATATACGTGAATTAAATTATTCATGTATACATTTATTATATACATGTAATAATAGAAGTTTGTTGTCAGTAATGAAGGAAGACGAAAAAAAGTGCAGAGAAAATAAGGAGAATACGGAAAAAGATGGAGAGAAAGGAGAGGAAGAAAGCCTGCATAATTCTCCGCATAATTCTCAAGAGCAAGAGGAAGAGCAAGAAGAAGACAAAGTGATGGCAAAGAATGAGACGGAGAACTTGAGAGAGCATGTGAAAAGAGATAAGGATAACATGTCTCGAGAGAGTATAAGGATGGAAGGCAGCGCGGGCAAGGACATCGAGGAGCTGCCCGAGGAAGTGGACACTCTTCCTTTCTACCACGGCTTCATCACTCCAGAAGATTTGTGCTTCATCTTTTCTGAGGTTTAAATATCTCCTAATTATCTGCGACACACTTATCGAATAGATACACTTATTAAAGCTTAATAATAATTACTTGTTATGACTAGCTAATAAGTAATAATAATGATAATATTATGCATATCACTCACAGAAATGAATGCTTTTGATTTATGACGTAATATTAATATCAAAAAGCAGCCATTAAGCAGTACAAATAACAGCAGTGGTACTTATGATCGTTGTTAATAACTGCAGTTGATAATAAAATTAATAATATTGTCATCAAACTGGAAAAGAATAATGCATTCAACATCAGTAAATGACCCGACCCAAACATAAAAAATATGAGAAGTGAAAGCAAACTTTTAAGCGCTAAGCTTTACTTGCTACAGTTTCAGTGCTATCAATTTTGACTTTGGCCATAATTTTATAAAAATACTAAGTTTTTTTGGATTAAAAATCAACAAGTTAAGGTTGGAGACTTTATCATTCGTTTGATGCAATCATCAAAAACCAAGAAGTTTGCAATCGTCTTATCAGTGGAAACAAAGCACAAACCTTTGAAAGTTAGCAAGCTAAAACTCTGAAGTTTTAATATGTCTATGAAATAAATTAGTTTTTCTCATTATTGTTATTCTGCAATTTGATTTCAGCAATAACTACTATTAGTGCTATTACTGTTATTAGTTCTAATATCAAATAATTTAAAAAGTTCAGATGTTTAAGTTATTTTTAGATTAAACATATCCGTTTACATCATGTGCGTAGTAAAGACAATAAAATACAGTGGTATGCATCTGAAAAATACAAATATGGATCTATCAAAGAATTAACAAGTGATTACATCAAACAAAAACGACCAATACATCCTGATGTTAGTACTTAATTGTCCGGTATGTTGATAGAGGTCAAATTGTGTAAAGCAAGGTTAATTTTCCAGATACCAGAAAGTGTTCTCATTCGCGGTATACGTCTCAAAAACTGGGAGATCCGCCATTCTGATGTAAAGTTTGGCAAATTATTAGGCCAGGGTCAATTTGCTTCAGTGTACCAAGGTGAAATCAATAGCAAATCTGGTAAAAAAGAAATTGCCATCAAGAAGGTTGCATACATGATTTTACACTTATTCAGTCACTAATATGGCCTTACATGAGCATATAATTAGCAGATATTCCAGTGAAACCGCTATGTAATTCAATAATTTTTTATTTTCAAGGTCGATTTAGTTTTAAAAAAAACATTTCTTTTAAATAATAAGCAAAAACAATTTGGCACAAATATATCTTTACATCAGTAGTACTAACAACACACTAGG